TCATACACAAGCTTAGGAAAATAATGCAGACTTTGAGACTCTGAAAATTATTTCCTTTATAACTAAATGTCAAGATGGTGATTGGAAAGATTTTGTATTTTCACAATACTCTTAGAGAAAGGATATTTATTTTCCATTCATGCTACTTCTCATTTTAGGAATTTTAAAAAATCTATATATAAGAGAACAATAATTTTACAAAAAGTGCATTTGCATCCTCTTGCCTTTTCTTCTTTTATCCCAAAAAACATGAAATTGTGACCATCTTTGATCCCTTATAACCGCTGTGATCACATCTCTTTTCCAGCTTGTACTTTTATCATCCAAAGGAAGTGTGTTAGGGAAGCACTGTTAGCCTCAGGGTAGACAGAGCCCAGACAAACATTAAGCTACCACTTTGTCAAAAGAGCACCACGTTGCCGCAGGACCCAACACTAACAAAAGCTATTCAGTTAGATGAGACAGCACAATGTAAAAACCAATGTTAGCTATGGGGGTGTTTGCTAACTGGCTCAAATTTGGTAAATGTTAGGTAACATGTATTCAAATAGAACTTTAAACAAGACCTAGAAGGTTAAATCATGTGGGAAGGAAACAGTGTCAATATTAAATGCTAACATCTTTTTTGTGGTCAGAGACACTGACTATTTCTCCCCTCTAGTGATGGGGATTGAACCCAGAATCTCACACATGCTAAGCGTGTGCTCTACCACTGAGCTACTTCAGTCCAAGAATGACTTTTTTGATGAAATTTTTGATTTGTCTTCAATATTTAGACCTTGACCTTACTAATCTGATAGTTAAAATCCAAGAAAAAAAAAAAAACTAAAAATAAGGAATGAAGAACATGGTATTGCTGGATTGAATGTTAGTTGCTTCCTCTTATAATAAAATGAACTAGTTTCCCCTGTGAAGAGCAAAGATATCTTGTTGAACTTGAAATTGCAGATATGGGTGACTCTTATTTTGCTAATGAATGGTGAAGAAATGAACTTGCAAAGATTATAAAAATTTATATGAATATTCTCTCACCAAAGTTTGAAGATGCCCTTTTGGTTGGAAGTGATTTTTTATGACACTTCCCAGCTTTTCCATACCCAGGACTTTAGCTTGTATTTCTAAGGAAATTTATGTCTTTGCATTTTAACTAAGCCCCAAGCACAGACTTGTCCAAAAACAGTCTTATTAGAGACCATTCTGATGATAGAGGTGAACATGGACTGTGGATTTGGTTCCTGTTGTAGACTAACAGGCTTTTCTGTGTTTCCTCAAAAAGGCAGAGGTTGAGCTTTTCCTCTGTGAGGAAGCTCACAGAGAGGCTGCAACCCTTGTCCCTCTGCTGTAGAGTAATGGAAGCAGCAGTGCCAACTCCTCCAGCCTTTCAGAACCACTAGCATCCCGTTTGGAATCGAAAGCATGAAATACAAAAAGCTGATAAAGGGCAAAGCTCCTTTTTTCCAAACCCTTTCCCTTCAAAATTGTACATTAAAAACTTGCAATCTCTTAGTGATGATTAGGTTTCTTGCTATCTCTGTGTTGAACTTGAAGAGTATTGTTACAATTTTCAGTTTATGTTTCCCTGTCTTCTGTGATAGCTTGGGTCAGAGGTTGAGCTGCAGGCCTCCCAGTGGTATGAAGAGCAATAATCTAATTTCTAGGCTGAGCCAAGAACAATAGCAACCTCAAAACAGATCTTGCACTCAGTGCATAGCCCGTTTTCATTGGCCAGCCTGCTTGTCCTTCAATGGCCAGGCCATTCATTCATGTTGAGTCTTATGACAGCTGTATTACATGATACCAATATTAACATATTTGGAAATAACTTGGAGGCAGAGTAAAAATTTTAGGAGCATCCACCTGTTTGGACATTATATGAGTTTAATAACTAAGTGTATTAAACAAGACTGTCCAAGAAACAGAATGAGTAAAATAGATGAATGAGTAAATAGATGCATAGTGGTTGACAGATAAATATATAGATAAATGGATGATAGAGAAATATAAATGGACAAAATTATGGAGGCTGAGGGGTCCCACTATCTGTCAAATGCAACCAGAAAACCAGGGAATCTAATTCAGTCCAAATCCAAAGGCCTGAAAACCAGGAGAAACAATCACATAAATCACAGTTCAAGGGCCAAAAAAGATGAGGTAAGATGTCTGCTCAAGCAGTCAGGCAGAAAGCGAAAAGAGCGAATCCCTCCTGCTTCCACCCTTGTTCTATTCATGCCCTCCACAGATTGGATGATGCCCATTCACACTGCGAAAGCAATTTACTTTCAAGTGATAATCTCACAAAAACCCTCAAAGTAATATTTAGTCTGGGCACTCTGAGGCCAGCCAAATAAACATATAAAGTCAACCATCACACTAAATGATTAGAAGAAAGTTTTATACTATTTAGATTTTTACCATTATTTGACACATAGAGTTTTAAAATATTTCATCCCAAGAATTTTTTGGTAAGGCCATGTGGCAGACATTACATGGTCATAACATAAGCATAGATTCTGGGGTCCGACTATCTGCATTGAAATGCAGATCTATTACTAGAGTGAGCAAAGATACATATACCAGTTATCTAATTAGGAGGAACAAATTGCCTTACAACTTAGTAGCTTAAAGCAATAAAAATATTTATTTTCTTCCTCTGCATCTATGGGTCAGGAGCTTAGGAATGGTGGCTTAGCTAAATGTTTCTGGCTTTAGCTTTTTCAGGAGGATGCTGCTGCCTGGGGCTGCAGTCACCCAAGGCTTGACCCACCAAAGGAACCTCTCACTCACACAACTGGCAAATGTTTGCTCTGTTTTCTAGAAAGCTCCATTGTCTGCCATGTTGACCTCTGCATAAAAGTGTTTGGTGCATGGAGGTGGTCTCCCCTAGTGACTGTGGTGGAAGAGCCAGGAGGAAGCCACTCTGTCTTTTACGAACTTGTCGCAAATGTCACAGATGGTCATGTTTGCCATGAACCTTATCAAATCATTAGGTTCAACCCATTTTCAAGGACAGGGAAGCCATCTTTGTCTTTTGAAGGGAGAAACAGTAATATGTGTGGATATACTTAAAACCGACATGGTATATTAAACTTCCAAGTGCTTCTGATTTCTTACTTGGGAAACAGGAATAGTAATAGCACTACTTAGGGGCTGGGGAGATGGCTCAGTAGAATAAGTGCTTACCTGGAAAGCTCAGGGGCAAAAAAAAAAAAAAAAAAGCGCTACTTAGTAGGATTGCTTTGAGAACTGATGACATGGTGTATGTAAAGTCCTCAGTTGCCATTGTCAGTGACAAATAAGTGTAAGGTTTGTTTCCCTGTTTTGTGTAAGGACAATAAGAATGATTAGAATATTGTTGGAAGAATCTGGACCTACTAGAATCCTCTTAAATAAACAACTGCAATATTTTATATTAGCTTTTGATTTTTAATCTGGTACATTTCAGATGTATATAATAGTAACATACATCATAAGAAATTTCTACCTGTACATGGTATATCTTGATTCTTTTTTTTCTCCTTTCTCTTCCTTGTGCTCTATGCATGTTTGTAAAAGCAATGAATAATTCTATTAAAGCAGCTAGAGAACAAAACTGCCTCACATCTGTGGTGCCAACTATCTCATTAAAAGTCTTCACTATTCTTGTGATAAAGCT